TCTTGATCTTTTGGGGTCGTGATCTGCCCACCTCGGCCTCCTAAAGTTCTGGGATTATAGGTGTGAGCCACCGTGCCGGGCCTTATTATTTTTTTTTTTTGAGAGTCTTGCTCTGTTGCCCAGATTGGTGTGGTATAGTCATGGCTCACTGAAGCCTTGACCACCTGGGCTCAAGTGATCCTCCCACCTCAGTTTCCTGAGTAGCTGGAACTATAGGCACATGCCACCACACCCAGCTAATTTTTGTAGAGATAGGGTTTTACCACATCCAACTCCTGAACTCAGGCAATCTGCTCACCTTGGCCTCCCAAAGTGCTAGGATTACAGGTATGAGCCACTGCACCTGGCCTACAAAAATTAAAAGAAAAAACAGCCCAGTTTGGTGGTTGAAGCCTACAGTCTCAGCTACCCGAGAGGCTGAGGTGGGAGGATGGCTTGAGGCCAGGAGGTCGAGGATGCAGTGAGCTATGATCATGCCACTGCACTGGGTGACAGAGCAAGACCCTGTCTCAAAGAGAAATTTTCTTTGAATGAAAACATACTTTTTTTATCCCAATCTTTTTTTTTTTGAGACGGAGTCTCACTCTGTCACCCGGGCTGGAGTGCAGTGGCGCAATCTCAGCTCACTGCAAGCTCTGCCTCCCGGGTTCACGCCATTCTCCTGTCTCAGCCTCCCGAGTAGCTGGGACTATAGGCACCCGCCACCACGCCCGGCTAATTTTTTGTATTTTTAGTAGAGATGGGGTTTCACCGTGTTAGCCAGCATGGTCTTGATCTCCTGACTTCGTGATCCGCCCACCTTGGCCTCCCAAAGTGCTGAGATTACAGGTGTGAGTCACCATGCCTGGTCTATCCCAGTCTTACTAGAGAGAAAACACATGGAGAGAAGCTAAGCTGCTGGCTCAAAGTCGTGGTGATAGCGCTGGGATGTGAAGCCAGCTACTACAATGCTACATTCTCTAGCAGGGCATCCCTGACCCCAGCGTCCACCTAACTAGGTTTAGGGTGGATCCCAGGCATTTGCATTAAAAAAAAAATTTAGCCAGGCATGGTGGCTCACGCCTGTAATCCCAGCAGTTTAGGAGGCTGAGGCAGGTGGATCACTTGAGATGAGGAGTTGAAGACCAGCCTGGCCAACATGATGAAACCCCATCTCTACTAAAAATACCAAAATTAGCTGGGCATGTTGGTGTGCACCTGTGATTCCAGCTAGCCGGGATGATGAGGCAGGAGAATCACTTGAACTCGGGAGATGGAGGTTGCAGTGAGCTGAGATCGCACCACTGCACTCCAGCCCAGGCGACAGAGTAAGACCGTGTCTCAAAAATAAAAAAGAAAAAAAATCCGCAGGTAATTCTGCTTCATGATGAGGGTTGAAAAATCACTCTAGGTGAGAAGGAAAAGATGAAAAATCTTAGTTGTAATTTAAGAATTATTTAAAAATTAAGATTAAAACAAAGAAATTGTTATGGCAAGTATGGAAGCTAAGAAGGTGCTGGGCGGGGGGCAGAGGCCAGATGAGCATTGCGGCAGATTGTGGAGGGGGCTTACCTGGAGGTCTTCCTCTGAGAGGAGGATGATGCTGGACAGATCTTCTTTCAGCTGCCTGGCCACATTCTTCCACTTCAACCCTGCTCCCCTGTCTGTTTCATCTACATCAAAGGACTCTTGGGAAATCCAAGCTGTACCTCCATCTGACACATGGGAGAAAATGCCAGTCACAGAACAACCTGAAGTGCTGTTTTCACCTCCTCTCTAAGCACACACAGACCTCTTGAGGATCTAGATGAATTTCAATGGGAAAGAAGCATCTTATCTCAAGGATTCACAGGAGGGCCAATCTCCATCTAGGACCTTTTCCCTCTTCTTTCATCTTTTTTTTTTTTTGAGACAGTCTCACTCTGTTGCCCAGGCTGGAGTGCAGTGGCTGTCTCTTATACACATCTAGATGTGTATAAGAGACAGATCTTAGGGGACAGGTTCTATAATTATGATGTCAACAAGGCACTGAGAGGTTATGTAATTTGCACAAGGTCACCTGGCTAGTAAATGGTAGAGCCAGGATCCAGACCTAAACAGCCAGATTGCAGCCTGCAGCACTGAGCTCCCTGCCAGGCTGCATTTTAGTTGCTCTCTGTCCATGACTTAGTTGAGAACTGGGCCCATGTCTCATTCATCTATTTTTTTTTTTTTTGAGACACAGTCTCGCTCTGTCGCCCAGGATGGAGTGCAGCGGCACCACCTCAGCTCACTGCAACCTCCACCTCCCAGGTTCAAGCAATTCTCCCGCCTCAGCCTCCCAAGTGGCTGGGATTACAGGTGCCTGCCACCATGCTCAGCTAGTTTTTGTATTTTCAGTAGAGATGGGCTTTCGCCATGTTGGCCAGGCTGGTCTCAAACTTCTGATCTCAGGTGACCTGCCCACCATGCCTGGCCTCATTCATCTTTATCCCCAGGACTCAGCACCATGGCTGGCACATAGAAAATGCTCAGTAAATGTTTGTTGAACAAATGTTTAAAAAGCCAGACAAATGGCAACTGTCTGTGCGGTGAAAGTAATCATGACGGATGCTGGACTGCATAGGCCGTTTTCGATATGGCCAGAGTTTCTCACCTGAATTGTTGTAGGCCCATTTCTCATTATTGGCCAACGCCACAAACTTAGTATTGGAAGGTAGACACAGAAAGTAATCGTCATCATCCACTATGGTGCCATCCTCTGCCAGGACCAGGGTGACTGGTGTCAGGGACTTATCAATGGCCAGAATGTCACAGGCTGAAAAGAAGAAAATATTTGGCAAATGACAAATAACCATAAGGAAAGTGTATCTGTCCCTGCACCTCAAGTAGGTATGGCTCCAGAGCTGAGCAGAACTCCTGGTAGGTAACAACTAGAATAACAATCATCACTTCTAGCACTAATAGAACACTCATCACGTGCCTGATTCTGTTCTAAGTGTTCTTTTATTTTCTTTCTTTCTTTTTTTTTTTTTTGGTAGCAGGGTCTCACTCTGTTAACCAGGCTGGAGTGCAGTGGTATGATCTCAGCTCACTGCAACCTCTGCCTCCCAGGTTCAAGTGATACTCCTGTCTTAGCCTCCCGAGTAGCTGGGATTATAGGCGTGCACCACCGTGTCCAGCTAATTTTTGTATTTTTAGTAGAGACGTGGTTTCACCATGTTGACCAGGCTGGTCTCAAACTCCTGACCTTGTGATCCGCCTGCCTTGGCCTCCCAAAGTGCTGGGATTAGAGGCGTGAGCCATGCACCCAGGCCTAAGTGCTTTTCTTTTTTCTTTTTTTTTTTTTGAGACGTAGTCTCACTCTGTCGCCCAGGCTGGAGTGCAGTGGTACAATCTTGGCTTACTGCAACCTCCGCCTCCCGGGTTCAAGCAATTCTCTGCCTTAGTCTCCCAAGTAGCTGGGATTACAGGCGCTGGCCACTGTGCCTGGCTAATTTTTGTATTTTTAGTAGAGATGGGGTTTCACCATCTTGGCCAGCCTGGTCTGGAACTCCTGACCTAATGATCTACCTGCCTCGGCCTCCCAGAGTGCTGGGACTACAGGCGTGAGCCACCATGTCTGGCCTAAGTGCTTTTCATATACAGTATTTAATCTCATAATAATCCTGTAAAGTAGGTACTATTATTAGTTCTGTTTTATAGATGATGAACCCAAGACTCAGAGAGGTTAAGTAACTGGTCCAGGATCACGCCGGAAGTGGCAAAGCTGGGACTTAAACCCACAAAGTCTGGCTCCTGAAAGTATGTTTACTCCAGCTACTCTGCACTCACGTGTGGTACGCATTTGAGTTTTTACTGGAATGAACAATCAAAGTCTGGTCTGATTCCCTGCGAACAAGCAGTCTCTCATTCATTTATTCAGTTGTCCTCTTTTTTTCTTTTTTATTATTGAGATGGAGTCTCACTCTGTTGCCCAGGCTGGAGTGCAGTGGTGTATCTTGGCTCACTGCAAGCTCCGCCTCCTAGGTTCACATCTTTCTCCTGCCTCAGCCTCCTGAGTAGCTGGGATTTCAGGCGCCCATCACCACGACCGTCAAATTTTTTTGTGTTTTTAGTAGAGACGTGGTTTCTTCATGTTAGCCAGGATGGTCTCAATTTCCTGACCTCGTGATCCGCCCGCCTCAGCCTCCTGAAGTGCTGGGATTCCAGGCGTGAGCCATCACGCCCGGCCCTCAGTTGTCCTCTTAAATTCTACGTGACGAATGTCAAAAAATACACCAAAAACACCAGGCGCGGTGGCTCACGCCTGTAATCCCAGCACTTTGGGAGGCCGAGGTGGGCAGATCGCGAGGTCAGGAAATCAAGACCATCCTGGCTAACACGGTGAAACCCCGTCTCTACTAAGAAAGTACAAAAAATTAGCCGGGCGTGGTGGTAGGCGCCTGTAGTCCCAGTTACTCCAGAGGCTGAGCAGGAGAATGGCGTGAACCCGGGAGGCGGAGCTTGCAGTGAGCTGAGATCCCGCCACTGCCCTCCAGCCTGGGCGACACAGTGAGACTCCGTCTCAAAAAAAAAAAAGAAAATGCTTTTTGTTCTTCACAATATCTTCCTTAGCAGCTTCTTTTTTAACCTATGGGAAAGTATAAAAGACGTGGAAGCTTCTATCAGTAGCTTTTCATATTATCATTGGCCGAGAGGTTTTCTCCAGGACAGGTCTGTGCTATCCCATTTAGTGACAGCAATGCTTCAAATACTAACGAGACTGGAGTGGGCAGAAATAGCCAAGAGACTACAAATATCCTTCAGCGGTGTTGTCTACCACCCAATAGAACAGCAAGGCATGTATGGGCTGGGCTGCAGAGAACACGAGCCTCTGTGCCACGCACATCCAGCCAAGGCACTGAAGGGGAATTAGAAGTAATCTAATGTCAGGAAAAACATACATAAATGCTTATATGTAAAATCCATGTCACCAAAGCATTTATAATGCATTCGCTGTTCATGGGCCTCTGAAAATTTCCATATGATCTCTGTTGGTGACTGAGAGTAAGCAACTGTCCCCTCTGACACACACTGTGACTACATGCCTGGGGCTGGCTCACACATTTAACCTGTCAAACTTCTTTAGGTAAGCAATTTGTTGCTACCGGCTAATAAGACTTGCAAGTCACTTAAATATATCAGCTTATTTGAGAGAAGCAACAATCCTTTGAAGCAGGGCTGTAAATATTATACCCAGTTTGCTGATGAGAAAACTGAGGGTTGAGAGACGGTTAACTGCAAGGCCAAGCAGCTGGTAAAAGTATGGGGCCGGGCTCGGAACTTCCGTCGGCTCCGTCACTTACAACTCACGTTCCTTGTCTGGACCTCCAGAAATGGTTAGTAGCAGCTCCCTGTTTCCCGCATAGGTTCCTGCCAGAGTGGAAGGTGGAAACCCCTCCCCACCCCGCCGTGGGCTCAGCTGGGGGTTCTTGTACCACGCGAGTGTGCCTGAGTGGCAGGAACCCAATGGGCTCCGCTTGGTCCAACATCTAAGTGATTTCAGGCAAGAGACCTAAGCCGAGTCTGGCTTAATGTGCACTTTGCTTCCTGGCTCTCTTCCCACCACTGTGGAGTCTCACACGAGATTAATTACGCTCAAGCGCCTGAAATCTGTAAATCGCTAAGCCCACTTGGACCATTTCTGTTCCAAGGCTCCACCCGAGCTACAGGAATCCCCACGTCGCCTCTCCTGACCCCGCCTCGCCCCAGTTGGACGTCCTCTCCCGGCCCCGGCTCCCCCACCCCCTCGCCCGGGGTCCCGAGCCAACCCTTGCTCCTCAGGTCTTCGAGGCAGGAGGCGGCCACGCCGTGCTGTTCGCGGCTGTGGTTGCGGCGCAGCAGACACGGCTTTAGAGTCCGGATCTCGCCAGATTCTGGTACCCCGGCGTCCCCGGACACTTCCATCCTCTCCAAAGTGGGACCTGCCCGGCTTCCAGAAGCCGCGGGAGGCCGGAGCAGCGGCCCTCCTACTCGACCCCCTTCCGCAGCCTGCCGGGAGATGTAGTTTGCTCCGCAGGAAATCACACGTGAGACCAGGGCACGCCGGAAGATGTAGTTCTAGTTGCCGCTAATCACATGTGGCGTCGAGGCATGCCCGAAACTGTAGTCTCTGGGTTTAAAGCTGCTTTCGTTCTATCGCGCGATTCAGCCTAGGAGTTGTTTTTACCTCGTATTTAGGAGCTGCATTCGCGCGCTCAAAAATAAGGCCAATAGAGACTTATTTTGCATGACGATGCACATGCCTGTATACGGTATTGAATTTTTAGAGCATTTCTATTCGCATATGACATGCATGATCCTAATAACAGACACCCGCATGTTTCCACCCATTCTGTTTCCTGCTTCAACTGTGCAAATTAGTTTGGGGTCTCAGAATAAAATGCTTAAATAAACATAGTAAGCATTAAAGTCTCAAATGCATCGGAGAGGAAAGGGGAAATGCGAACCTCGGCACTGCTGGAGATTGTTCAGATGCCTCTTGACAACATACTCATCTTTGTTTTAATATTGCTACTACGGAAAAGTTTGTTTTTTTCTTCCTGAAAAATTAACATCTAAGATAAAAGAATAGTAATAAAAATGATCAAAAAGTTCCTCTCTTAAAAGAGGGCATTTTATGTAAACTAGAAGTAATTATCTGCTCATATTTATTCATTCGGGGGACAGTTTCCTTCCTTGTTTTTTTTTCTTTTTTTGAGACAGCGTTTTGCTCTGTCTCCCAGGCTGGAGTGCAGTGGCGCGATGATGGCTCACTGCAGTTTTGATCTCCTGGGCTCAAGCCATCCTCCCACCTCATATTTTGTTTATGAAAACGTGGGTGAGGGCCCCGGGGGCGGCGGCTCACCCCTGTAATCTCAGCACTTTGGGAGGCCGAGGCGGACAGATGGTCTGAAGTCAGCAGTTTGAGACCAGCTTGGCCAACATGGTGAAATCCCGTCTCTACTAAAAATACAAAAATTAGCCGGCCGTGATGGCGCACGTCTGTAGTCCCAGCTACTTGGAAGGCTGAGGCAGGTGAATCGCTTGAACCCGGGAGGCGGAGGTTGCAGTGAGCCGAGATCGCACCACTGCACTCCAGCCTGGGCGTCAGGAGCAAGACTTCGTCTCAAACAAAAACAAAAACAAACAAACAAACAAAAAGAACGTGGGAGAGGAAATTAGATATTTATCTCAAGAAAAGTTTAGGCATTTAAAACAGCGTTTAGTAGGAGGAATTATTAATTAAGTCATGCCTTTTAAGCAGTCGATATTGATCAAAACACAACTATAATAGGAGCTGGCGGTTAACTCTAATGTATGTATCCTTTTTCATATAATTTCATTTTTAATTTTCTTATCTTATTTTTAGACAAAGTCTCGCTCTGTCGCCAAGGCTGGAGTGCAGTAGCATAATCATAGCTCACTGCAGCCTCAACCTCCTGGGCCCAAGGGATGCTCCTGCCTTGGCCTCCTAAAGTGTTGAGATTACAGGTGTGAGCCACTGCTCCTGTCCAATATTTAATTTAAAATCCAACAATTAAAAAAAAATCTAACAATTCAACCAGAGTAAAATAATGACGTTTTGTAGAAGCCTCTTCTCTTCAAAATGCCTTTTGTGTGTTCTCGCAATAGACCTGCACTCTTATCTGAGTCCTATCCCCACAATACTGTAATTGTGTGTGTGTTTGGCCTGGGCGTGGGAGTAGGGACTGAGTCTTGAATCTTTTTATTTCAAAGCCTACCAAAGTTCCTAGCATATAGTAGGCACTCAATGAATGGAACTGAACTGATGTCTAAAAATTAATTTCCAAGTTTCTTCGCATTCATCCATTAGCAAGTACCTAAATATGCTCACGGCACTGTGGGGATGGGCAGAGATTTAACTCAATAAGAATAATATGGGCCGGGCGCCGCGGCTCACGCCTGTAATCCCAACACTTTGGGAGGCCAAGGCAGGCGGATCACCTCAGTTCGGGAGTTCGAGAGCAGCCTGACCAACATGGAGAAACTCCATCTCTACTAAAAATACAAAGTTAGCCGGGCGTGGTGGTGCATGCCTGTAATCCCAGCTACTCGGGAGGCTGAGGCAGGAGAATCGCTTGAACCCAGGAGGCGGAGGTTGCGGTGAGCCGAGATCGTGCACTCCAGCATAGGCGAAGAGCGAAACTCCGTCTCAAAAAAAAAAAAACACCAAAACCCCAGAATAATACACATATAACAACGCAACAACGCAAAGAAGTTATAGACTTGGGATCTTCCTGGAAAGCAGAGATTAACGGAAACTATGCAAGGTGACCCGGACACCCGGGCTCCACCCTCTGCCCCAGTCCCCCACATCGACAGGCTCTGTTCCGGCTACCTTAGTCTGGGCGGGAGGGCGAGAGCGAGGGCGCCTGGGAGAAACCTCGCCCTGCGGCGGTTGATTAGTCAGGCCTCAGAAAGATGGCGTCTTCGGAGCAGGCAGAGCAGCCGAGCCAGGTAAGGGGAGTGGGACTGCTCCGCTGTGCGGCGGAGACCCCGGCTGGAGGGGGCGCTGAGCATACGGCTGGGAGCCGGGTAGGGACCCCGAGTCTCCGAGGCTGGGGACCCCGACCTCTTGCCCCCTCCCGAGCCCCGCCCCTCCCCAGGTCCTCCCCGCCCGGCCCCTCCCCCGGTGACCCCTCTTTGACCACATTCCGGAGCCCGGGCTCTGGTGCTTGGCCTTGCCCCCGGGTCCCAACTTCCTGCCTGCCAGCACCTCTGGTCCCACTTGAGCTTGGCGGGGAGGGTGGCGGGACCTTTGGGAAGTCCTCAGCCTTGAGCTGCGAGGGCTTGAGAAGGAGAGGATAGATCGTTCCCGGCTGTCCCCTCCGGGGAGGGGCCTGATTCCATCAGGGTTCCCACTCCCTCACGGCCTCAGCCTCCTGGAGTGGCTGCCAGCCTCTTCATCTGTAGTCACCTTTGCGCTTTTCTCGTCAAGTTGGAGAGTCAGAAATAATATAGTCGAGCCCTCGCAGTGCGTTGATAGGAAAGGGACGCACTGTGAATAACAGACGCCACCAAGCTTTTGGCTGAGGACCCATCCTCGCTTCCCTGGGTTTGGTTTTGTTGGCCGAGAGCTCCGCTCTAGCTTTTCACCTGCAGATTCAGACAAATCCCACTCCAAAAAGGGGACAATAGGGACCAGTGTTGACGCCTGTGCCTCTGCGGTAGGGAGGCAGTGGATGATAAGGCCTCCGAAGGGGTTTATAGTCCAAAGGTGGGGTGGGGTGGGATGGGGTGAGGAGAAAAGGGCTAAGAGAGATCTTACATTTAACTGCGTATGTGCTGTCATGTTGAGGACAAATTACATCTATTATCTCGTTTAGTGTTCACTACAACGTTTATGAAGTGCAGGCTGTTAACCTCCATTTCACAGAAATGAATACTAAGGGTTTGTGACATGCCCCAAATCGTGTGCCCTGTTGAGCCTGTATTGTACCTGTGTGACTCCACTAGTCTTCCATATATTTTTGAGTTTAGTTAGGATTAGAATGAGGAAGAGGAAAATAGTTTCAACTTGGGGCCTCATTCCTCCTCTCCCACCTCCTTGAAACACGTCTAAGAGTTTTCAGCAACTTACTAGTATTTCACTTCCTTTAGATGTAGAAGACCACCGCTTAGTGTTTCTTACTGTCTTATTCTGCGTATCTGTTACAGGAATTGCACTTAAAGGAGTTGGTGTGTTCCCCCATACCAGCTTCTATTAGCAGTGTGAATGATTCAGGAAGAAGATGTCTTGATTGTAAAACATGGGAAATAACAAGGACTGATTGTGGCCTTCTCACCGTCAGGTGTTCTGGAGTTTGGCAAGTGTCTTGCGAGGAGGGCCTCTCCTTTCTTGCCTTACCACATTTAGTTTGTGAAATACTGAGGCATCTTGGGGTCTGGGTTTCTGTTGAATTGTTTTGTGTTAGGAATGCCCGCAGGCTGGGATTGAACGGTGTCCTCAGTTCCTGATTCTTTTTTCTTTTTTGAGACGGAGTTTCTCTCTGTCACCCATGCTGGAGTGCATTGGCACAATTTCGGCTCACTGCAACCTCTGCCTCCCGGGTTCGAGCTATTCTCCTGCCTCAGCCTCCCAAGTAGCTGGGACTACAGGTGCCTGCCACCACACCTGACTAATTTTTGTATTTTTAGTGGAGATGGGTTTCACCATGTTGGCCAGGCTGGTCTTGAACTCCTGTGGGTTTCACCATGTTGGCCAGGCTGGTCTTGAACTCCTGACTTCAAGTGATCTGCCCGCCTCAGCCTCCCAAAGTGCTGAGATTGTATGCGTGAGCCACCATGCCCGGCTCTGTTCCTGATTCTTACAGGACATTTAATTTGCTAGTGCTGTAAACAGTACTAAAAATCTTGCCACTTGGAGCCATTGTCATGCCCAAGGATTCTTTTGGTTTTGCAAGTTTGCCTTCTCTGTATATATATTTAATAGAAAAGGATCTAAGGTCCTTTAAGGGGGCATGACCATCACTTACTTGATTTTCAGCTCTGCTTCTTCTTTGCCCTGCTTTCCAAAGCTGGTAGAGGTAGGATAGCAACAGAACATACCAGCAGCCTGGCGGAAAAACTTGAACTTTTTTTTTTTTTTGAGACACAGTCTCGGTCTGTCGCCCAGGCTAGAGTGCAGTGGCGCGATCTCGGCTCACTGCAACCTCTGTCTCCTGGGTTCATGCCATTCTCCTGCCTCAGCCTCC